AGCCCATCCTTTTCCCCAAGATGCAGTTAATTTTTATAATCCCTTTAGGCTCCATACATTTTGATATGAGGAACCTAATGGGTTTTTTTTTCTCTATACTCAAATCCAAATTAAATTCAGGAAGTTTTTCCCTACTGGCAATTTCTAATAAAATGCAATCCTAAGGAAAGTTGACCAACAGAGTTCAAATGAGACTCGTATTTATTCTGGAGTTTGATGGAAACACCGGAGGCAGGAAGGCTGAACCTTGGGTATTAACAAGAGAGCTACTCTAGTTTGGGTTCCAGCCTCCTAGTTCTGCCAGAAACTTGCTTTGAGGGCCATTATGTTTTCTAGTTCAATTTCCTCATCTATAAAATGAGGGCACCACAGCTAGATGATTGCTAAAGTGTCTTCCTGCTTTACAGGCTCTGTTCTGAAAGACAAGTCTGTGTTGTTGGCCCAGTGAGCTACTACTGTGAGCTAATGAAAATGGCATAATTGAACTTTCTAAATCTCAGTGAATCTACTTGTGCACTGGGTTTTATCGTAGCACAAATGTACTTAGGGGTTCTAATGTGCAAAATGAGAGTTATCTATATATAAGATCAGCTTTGAGGACACGGATAGGAGTGTATGTGAGAGAAGGAGTAGAAATTACTTGAAGATGAAGAAACACAGGTTCAAATTTTCCTTTGTCATATGGCTTGATGAAAGCTTTGAACAAATGCTCTCATTTTAGAAGGGCCTTAGTTACTTCCTGAGTAAATGAGGGAAATTTATCTGTTATTGGACACCAAAAATGTACACAAGTGGGTGAGATTGGGGAGGGTAAAAGAAGGAAGTAAAAAAAGTGAATATGGTTCATGTACTTTCTATATGAGAATGAATATAGAATATTTAAACCTGTTGAAATCACCATAAGAAGGGGACTAAGGTAGAAAGTAGAAAAAAAGAGTGGATGAACCAAATAGGGATATAATACATATACACATGGAAATGTCATAATGAAACTCTCTACATATCTATCTTAAATAAACAAAACTGTCTTTTTTTCTAAAATGAAGGAAAGGGGGGTAAAACAGTTCCTGTCTGGGGTTTGGCAACAGTGAGAGAGAGGAGGATATAAGGAAAGGGTATAAGAGGGTGAATATGGTGGAAATGTGTACTCATGTATGAAAATGGAAAAATGAGACCCGTTGAAACTATTCTAAGAATGAGGGGAGAGGGGATAAAGAAGATTGATGGAGGAATGAATTTAACTAAGATATATTGTAGACACTTTTATAAATGTCACAGTGTACCCCCAGTACAACAATAATATGATAATAAAAAACAAACCATGACAAAGAGAAGCTTCTTGTCATTATACCTTGATTGTAGTGGTTCACAGACTAGTTACACGTAACTCTTTCTGTCTTTTCCTATCAGTGAGTATGGCAATCAGTGAAGGAGGTAATCAGAAACATAGGATATATAGAGAGAAACCAAAAGCCTTAGGTTAATTAACCAAAAGGTAAATTTGTTTTTGAGTAGTCAGCGGTTTTTATATCATCCAATGTGACAAGTATCATTACATCCAGGAGAAAAAAATTGGAAAAACATCCTATCTTGCTAATAGTGGTGAATCCTTGAGTTGAGCTTTTTGGCTGAACTTCTCATTAAGAAGATGGCTTTTTTATGCTGATGGGACCAATTCATTCCGTACTCATCGTCATGAATAAACTCTGATTATTCAGATCAGTAATATGATGACTAATTCAGGTTTCTGGCTTGAGCATTATCTTGTGGGCTATGGAGCCATTTTCCTTTGGAAAACAAGCCCAGGAGTGTAAAGATATATCAGATCATCAGGGGACAGGCATATGCTTTTCTGCAACCTCTGCAGGGCTTACAGGTTCAAATACAACTTGCCTGAATCATAAGAACTTTAATTGAGTAGATAAAGAGGTCCTCATAATTATAAACTGCAGTAGGTATAACAAGAGGCTAAATACATGGCTGTGGTTTTAATTAGTTGGTGCTTCAAATTAGTAATGCTGGTTTCAGTGAGAAATTAGTGACGTTATACACTGAAAGCCTCATCACCATGTAGTTCGTTCCTCATTAGACCTCCCTGTGTGAAGCTTTCAATACAATGCCGTGCTGAGTGAGAAAGGAAAAAGTTGGAGCTATTTGGTTGTCTTCCAAAAGCAGTGGAACTGTATGGAGAGTAAATTCATTCTTGCCAGAGATATGAGAATTAACTGTTCTTTGTTAGATGTGTTAAAAAATGCAGCAGGCAGTTTTGCTTGCAACAGATAACACCCATGTGCACACTCAATCTGCTATTCAAATTTGCGTCTGGAATTTGGTAGCTAATGAACTGATACAAAATGCAGCCAAGAGCCTCCTAACAAATCAAAGCCAGGTCTACAGCCTCGAAAGTGCTCTTAGTGCTGGCCGCTTGCAGGGTTGTCATGCAAGTTGAAGCACGTTTCCTTTTCTTCTCCTTCTTTTCCTTCAGGGTTTTAATTATATCTTCCCTCAGAGGAGAAGGAAGGTAGTTTGCAAAGCCGAGACCAAAGCACTCCAGTTCTCTTCATGGGAGAATTAAATGTGATCTATGGGCCTGTCATTCTGAGCTGTCAGATGCACAAAATTAATAGATTGCTAGAAAACTGACATCTTGCTCGCTTTACTCAGAAGCAGGAGACTTTGGTTCTTGTTTGTATGCTGAAAATCACTACTATGGAAAGGAAAGAAATTAAGCGTCCTTTTCTTTTGCAACAAATTTTCCTCCCTCCATACCACTAAGTATTGCTTTAACTTGTTATTTCACCCCTACCTCTGATACCCTGTGATTTTAACATTTTGACAAATTGATGGTCTTAGAATATCCATGGCTGATATGTGGTGTTGGGGTACAATGTCATGTTCCAGTTAATTGACTGTAGATTTTACTATGCCTGCTTGATTCTGCATCAGTCTCCAACATGTGGTAACTGGACTCTGATCTAAACCTTTTGAGTGGTAATGAAATGTGGTTCTATTAAATGTAATACTTGTGGAGGGCCTCTGAGACTGCAGATGATACACTAGCTTCTGGTATCTTAACTTGACATCTTTCTTGACCAGGAAGTGCCCAGAGTGGGGTCTGGGCTTTGGATAGGAGTATGGAGATTTTCTTTGCTTACTTCATACCCAGTGAGCACTTAGGTGTCTAGCATTGTTTGTATTATGAAAGTAGAATATGCATTTAAACGCCCTATAAATTGCATTATTTGTAGATACAGAAATGAATGCTGTGCATTCAGAAGATATAGCTATCAAAGTCCCTTTGAATTTGACAGTTCAGTGATTCCTGTTGAAAAGGGTGAATGATTAAGTGCAGTGACATCACACACACCTTGTATATCAGCATCTAGTTAAGTTGTGTCAATAGATCATGCTCTAGGCTCTTATTTTGTAAATTGAAGTTGGGATACACATGAGCTAAGTAGCCTCGCAATGATAAGACATTAAGGTTTGTGATGTATTCAAAACCCGTCAACTTTACTTTTATATCTATGTATCTCTTGTAACTCCTTTAGCTATTATGTTCATTTGCGTGTCAATTATCTAATTAAGTCTTAACATAGTAATATTAACACGAGGAAGGAAACCAACATTTATATAGCACCTGCTAGACATTTTACATTCGTTTATATAATTTAAATTTCCTTAGTTTATATATACTCATTTTGGATAATGTTAACATCAAATGCCAGAACAAATCCCACCCCACCCTCACCCATCCCCATCAGTGAACAAAATACAATACACTGCAGATTGAATATCACTTATCTGAAATGTTTGGGACCAGGAGTATTTTCAATATCATATAGTTTTCGGATTTTGAAATCGTTACATATACATTGGGGGATAGGACCCAAGTCTAAACAGACAATTCATTTATATTGTATACAAACCTTAAGCACATAGCTTGAAGTTAACTGTATGCAATATATTTAGTGTGCGCTCATTTTGACTGTGCCTTGTACATGATATCAGGTGTGAAATTTTTCACTTACAGCATCATGTGAGCACTTTAAAAGTTTTAGATTTGGGAGCATTCTGAGTTTCAGATTTTCATATTAGGGATGTCCATCTTGTACTATTAAGACTTACAAATTATGTTTTAATTTGCAGTCTTGCATGACAAAGAAAATCATTTTCTTAATGAGAAAGTGTTTCATTTTGGAAGCTTTTGATCTTCCAATGAGAAGGTCTGAAATTTGATGATAATCACAGAGGTAGTCTTTAAAAAACATTTGTGCATTAAGGTCATTCCAGGCTTTTGACACATCTTTCCATTCACTGCTAGTTAATTGTTTCTGCCAGAAGCCTTTCTTTATGATTAGTTTCCCCAAAGGGCTTCCAGTCACTTTTGAAGCAAACTATAGAAAAACCAAAACAACAAAAGACAAGCAAAAAGTGCTCTGCGTATTTAAGGTTATTTATATTAATGTGTGCATGTGTGTGTATGCACTTCCGTAAAAGAAAGTTAAGTGTCCTTAAACTCTCCTGTGATTTCATTAAAACGGACAATAGGCTTAGGATAGGATTCCAATTTATCTGCAGCTCCATACTTTAACAGTTCCTTTCTTTTGGGACTTGATGACATCTGAAGATTCTGAACCTCAGGCAGCTGACGACACAATGTAACTTTTAATTCAGTAGTTTTCTGTACTGTGGACTGACTTTTGGGGGAGTGTGTAATTGCTTGTATTAATCAAACAATGACAAGGGAAGGAATTATACTATACTTGTATGGTCATGAATACTATTTCTAATTAAAAGTTTCTATTTTCTTCTTTACTCTAATCAGGATTGTAAATCCAGTAGGAATAAAGGAAACAATTCTCTCCTCTGTATGAACTGTGATCTTGGGTAGCATTAACTTGCATTTTTTTCTTCTTATTGATAGCAAGGGAGATCTAAATGACTTACATGACTAATTAATCTTTTATCTCTTTTTTGTCTTTTCCTTTTCATGTCAGTCACTATGAACAAGACCGTAGTGCACTTAAAAAAAGGGAATGGGAACGGAGGAATCAAGAAGTCCAGCAAGAAGATGATCTCTTTTCTTCAGGCTTTGATCTTTTTGGAGAGCCCTACAAGGTAGCTGAATATGTATGTAATTTTTCTTTCTGGAAAACACTTGCTTATTTCGTTTTTGATCTCACTAATCAACATTTATTTTTAAATAATCTAAATCATTTCCAGAAGAATATATTTTACAAGTGAAATAAATACATATACTGTAATTCTGGCAATTGCAAGTTTCTGAGGCAGTCTTCAGAAACAGAAACCATCTTCTTTGGGAAGCACAGTAAGATCTGAAAGAGTTTTGTAAGACTTCCTCTCTTCAAGTAGCCCCTTACTGTCCAACACTTGTTACAGCAAGGAATGCCTCCTCCATGTTTTCTAGGGTCTTAATGATCAGGCTGTCAGCACCTGAAGACTTCATGAGAATGTCAGTACATATGCCAATCAGTGCCAACTATTGCAAGGCTGAAGCTTTCCTTTTCCGTTTTAGGCTGTTGATAGCTGTTCAGTGGTTTTAGTGCTCTTTGAAAAATCACTGTCCTAAGATACAGGAAAAAGCCAATCATTTTTCCTGGTGGCTACTAATCATGAGTTAAGAGATTGCCTCAATCAGTATAGCTAGGTTGATTTTCTAATGGTATTCCGGCTAGTGTGTAGTTCCAATGATGATCTGTAGCTATTTCTATAACTATTGATTTTACAATGACTGCTTCTGAACTTCCTATTTGGGGTGGAGATTAGGGGTGACTAGTAGGAAGAGATTATAATGGAAGGCCTGGTTGTTTTTTATTGAAATTTTGTAGTGATATAATTTCTTTAATGAAACCAAACTGATGTAAGAAATAAAACAAAAATAGAGAAAATTGTCAAGAGTTGTGATTTATGAAGAGCATCATTTAATAAGAAGGAAAGTTCTTAATGAGGACAGAGTAGGCCCAAAGACTACTTTGGGGCAACGAGTCAGCCATTTGAATTGATGGCTCGTGAAGGTGGAGTTTTGCTGCCTTGCTCAGAACAAGTGAGGGGTCTTAATTGAGACACTTGGGTAACTTCCAAGCTTGGTAAGCCTGACAAAGACTTGTCACCTAAGGTACTGATTGTCAAACTGTCAATAATGGTATAATTTGTAAAAGTCATTTTTTTAATCTCAACTGATTCAAGTTATATACTACATTTGAATGTATGTATTTAGGTATATGATTAATTTAGCAAACATTTATTGAAGGCCCCCTATGGATTATAGATAAGTATACGAAGGGGAATAAAACATGGTCCCTGCCTTCAAGGAATTTCTAGCCCAGTGGCAGAGATAATCATGGGTAAGTGATGGCATGAGTGCATAGTGATTGTTACATAGGCAAGGAGGCTGAAAATAATTCTGTGCATGGAGAGAAGTTATTACAAGCGTTTAAGTCAACACATACTACTTAGAGGAAGATAAAGAAGCTCTTGTACTTGCTAAGGGAAGTTTATGACAGGAAGTATTTAAAACAGAGTAAGAGAGTTGACAGGATGGGATTGAATATCTAATTAAATTGTGGGAAGTATGGAATAGGAAAAACTGATTCCCTAGGTTTTTACTTGAGAGGATGGTGATATCATTACCAATTTGTTCAGGAGAAAAATAGGGTTGCTGCTTGCAGAGAAACAAATTGATAATAATAAAAATAATAATTATTACAAGTTAATAACAAAAGAATAAATTCAATAAATAGAATAATTAATCCAGCTTTGAGCATGTTGGGTTTGATTTGCCAGTGGGACATCAAGGGAAAAACAGTTATTAGACATCAGATGTATAGAGTTCCTGAGAGTGGTCAAGTGAAAGACTTAGTTATTATGCTCATGTAGGTAGGTGTGAAAGCTATGAGAGTGAATACTAGCACCAAGTTAGATGACAGAGAAAGAAAGAGGGACAAGGAAGAATTTTTGGGAGCAACAACATTTACAGGGTAAAAGAATTGTTGAAAGCAGAGGCCAGGAAAGAAAACTAAAAAGGTACGCAGAGAACTAGTAAAAAAAAAAAAAAAACCAAAAACATTTATACTAGGAAACAAAATTAGTAGAAATCCAAGGAACAAAGGATTTTAGGGGAGAAAAATCTGCTAGTTCCATGCCTTGGGAGGTCAGGAAAGGTAACTACTATAAAATGGATGTTGGATTTGGCAGTTAAGGGGTAATTGGTGGTGACTTTAGCATGAGTCACATTATTTATTGATAGCTGTGGTCAGCGTGGGATGCCAAATAGTCACAGTTCAGAGAGTGAATGGGAAGTGGTTAAGTAAAGAAAGAGAAGAAGTTAGTACAGGTTTGATCATCCAGAGAGGTTTTGAATGGAAGAACAAAGGAAGATAAGTTAGGAAGTAAAGTGAACAAGTATATGGAGGGAATTTTTGAAAACTTTATTTTCAAATTACCATATAATAATATGGAGGGAAAATTTTTAAGTGAGAGAGTCATAAGCATGTTTAGAAATTTATGGGAAGGATCCAATATCCATGGAGAAGGGAAATGTAGAAGATACAGGGGAGAGAGGTAATGCAGAGTGGAGCAAGGTCCCAGAGGAGATTCAATAAAATACAAGGTGGAGAGCAGGTTAAGAACCATGATCCAAGGGGTGAGGAAGGAGATGGAACGTTAGAAAAGCAGTGAATCAGGAGACTGGAAAGATTAGGGGTAGGGCAAGAAGTCATACACTCCATTGTTGGGGATGAAGGCACATGATGGTAGCCATATTGTTACTTCTTGAGGTGAAGGAGGAACTACCAGAAGAATTTTACATCTTATCTTTGGATGGATTAGAAAAATGAGCTATACTCAAGGGATTTCTTCTTTTTCTGCTCCTTGTCTTCCTCCTTCTTTTGGCAATAATGTAGTTTGAAGTCAGGGCTTTGTTCTGGCTAGGCAGGCCTTCTTCTGTTTGAGCCATTCCTCCAGTCCTTTTTGCTCTGGTTATTTTGGAGATAGGTTCTTTCTTTTTGCCCAGGCCATCCTGGACTGCAATCTTCCTATTTTATGCTTCCCACCAACCCTGGGATAATATGTCCACACCACCATGTCCAGCTTTTTTCCTGCTGAGAAGGCGTCTCAAACTTTTTGCCTGGGTTGGCGTCAAACCACTGTGGTCCCTGTCTCATCTTTTAATGAGACCTACTATATAGATGGATACTTATTTTTACATGTTGGCAGTGTATTTTTGAGAAGGCAGTTTAAAAAAAAACCTGTTTTCAACATTGTCAAAAGTTTCCTAAAATCACCTCTCTTGATGCTACAAGGGTATGTCAGATAGAGACACAGAAAGGAACATTTAGTCCATTGCAGGACCAGATCTATTGTGTGATTAGCAGCTTATTATCTTTCCATGCAGAAGAGCCGTTGTACTTGAGTCAAAACTATGAAAGAAAGGAATCAAGCTAACAGTTTGTGACCTTGTAATTCCTTTTCTTTTATCCTTGCTTTGATGATCAGTTATCATCTAGTGCTATGTCCATGTGCAAGTTTCCCTGGGAGATCCCTAAGAAATATTCCTCTTTTTCCATCATTCTATGACAATAAAACTGACATGCACCTCCAGTGGTTTCCCAGACCAAGACTGAGGTGGACTTTGTTGAAGTTTCTGGATGTGTCAGTGGAATGGGAATCCTAAAGTTGGTCCACAGTTCACTGGTACAAAGGAGGACATACTACAACTCTTCTTTAGGGTTGTCATGGAAACACATCATATTAAAGATCAAATTTCCTGGTGGAGAACCAGAACTTTCAGGAAATTTCTTGCACCTCAAACCCCAAAACATGGCCTGATCATTTGATCAATAGCATCAGTGGATCATAAACTAGCCAGTATGAGCAGCAATCCCTTGGACCTACTGCCTTTTTTTGGCAGAAAGAAGAAATGGTGGTCTCTCATGTTCCTGGCTAATTTCTTTCCCTTCTTTGCTTTGCATCTGCTGTACTCAGAATGGAAAGAAAATTGACCTTCCCCAGATTTGGTTGTTGGTGGAGAACTTCTCTTTGTGGCTGCTTTCTCAGTTTATAGTCTTCAAATCAGAGTTTATACTATGCTATTGAGAAGGATGTCTCTAAAAGTACCTGAGAAATATGAAGCCTTTTGATCTGTCTAGGTTAGTATGAAAAGATTGGTGAGGAACTGGCACCTACATACTGTGTGTTGGGGCTTTGTGTATGTGCTCATTCAGTTCTTACAATAGGTAGAATATACATTTTCCCTGTGCTTCCCTTGAGGAATTTTAACTCAAGAGAAGTTAGGTTGCTTCTTTGCAGCTTCATATTTTTGTAAATGGTGGTGTATGCTTTATACTCAGTTCTGTGTGATTCTGTATGTGTAATAGGAAATTGTTTATCCTGCGATAGGAGTTCAGAATACTTGATGTTTTCCAACTGAGTAGAAAACTTGGAAAAACTTCTTTTCTCTGATTCAAAGTTCTTCCTTTCTAAAATGAATCATAATATGTAATAATAACAATAACATTTTACAACTTTTCGCAACTCATTAATAATAAGGGAACAAAGAAACAAAGAGTTTTAAGTGGCTTACCTAAGGTCATTTGTGCTGGTTCAGGTAGAGGTCAAAAGGAGGGTAAATCTACTATGCCAACCCACATGGTTGTTGTAAGGATCAAAAGAAACAATCTGGAAAACCTTGCTTTCAAATCTGTAAAGTGCTATAAAAATTTAAGATTTTGCCATTATTATAAGTAGAGTAAAGAAATAAATAGTAACTTACAGCTTAGAGAGATTAACTATAAAAATATTAGAATTAGAAGAAAATGTTATTAAATCTGATGCTTTAGCCACAATAAAATAAAAGAAAAAAGTCCAAAACTTCAATTATTTTTCTTAAAAAGAAATACTATTGGCACATTAGTCTGCTAATGAAATTATACTACTGATTTGTAGATAACATTAGAAGCAAACTGTGGGAAGTTAGCATTTCCTAAAGTAATGAGAATCAAAAAGCATAAATGAAGGAGTGCTGTTAGTCACGAGCCACAAACCAGACATGTAATTTATGTCTGAAAATACTTGGAAAATTCATTTCCTTGATGATAGAGAAATTGTGATTACTTAGAAAATAATACCTATAGAGGTTACCTTTAAGGAATCAACCAATTATCTAGAACAGGAAGTAAAGGATTGGCCAAATTGAAAGAAGCCTATAATTGATTGAAATGGCTAAATTTCATCTTTGCCATGTTTATAATGTTCAATCAACACTGCCAAGAATACCTGCTCCTTAACAGGATTACTAAGAGTCTGGAGAGCAGAAAAGAACATTTAGTGTGAATGAGGAGTCACTATGATTTATAATGAGAGAATAACATGTAGGTGAATGGAAACACACTTCAGTCCCTGCTGGGTTTTCTATCCAGTGGATCTCATGTTGACATCTTGAGACATTTAAAGATTGCCTGGAAGTTGCCCATCTCCAATGATGGAAAGGCAGAGAATTTACTCTGGCAACCTGGTCTGGACTGTTAATTATTTAAAAATGGTGACTTTTTAAGACTATGTGTCTGTGTGTCCTACATGCCTAATCCTGCCCGCTGAGGGCTTGAAATTATCAGTATTTGTCATGAGACAAAGTAATTCCTACTTGTAGCCAGTATGTATGTTATGCAAAGCATGTGGATAGATCTTCCTTCAATCAGCATCTCAGAAAGTATCACCAGTGAACTCAGCCTTGAACTGTCTGCTATGCAGCTCATGTCACAAGTCCTTCTGAGACGATTGCTGTCTTAGAAAACTTGTCTAAGGGAGATGACAGCCCTCAAATCCTACAGGTTATCACAGCTCTACCTACCCCTATGTCATAAGAGCACAGGAAATCCTCGTATCCTGATCAAATCAGCCTACACTACCTAACTTAAAATGCAGACATGCCTTCTTTGAGTTAGATTTTCATGTCATGCCTTGTTACATGATTACCAAAAGAAAAAAATCACATTAAGAACATCTTTTCATCTTCTGGAAAATTAGGACTGAGAAATAGTTCCTTTTATTGTTTTAAGGTTCTCATAAATCAATTGATGAGAGAATTTCATTTTAACATTTTAATATAAGACAAATGTTTATCTCATTTAATGAATTAAGATATGCTTCCTTTTGTCAGACAAAGATAACTCTTTAACTTATGAGCTTTCTCTTTTTGCTTTAGCTGACAGGAACCTCAAAATTTTCAATTTATTCAGCAATAGTTCCCAAGTTAGCGTGTCTTTTGCCTTTCTATTTATGTACCTTTTAATCTAAACCATTACAAATCTTCTATTTTGATATAAGTAGGTTATTGAGTACAATTTGATTCTGTTCAATTCATCATCAGTTTTTGAGTACTTACTATGCACTAGTTACGGTGCTAAGAGTTGGTGATATAAAGATGAATAAAACGCAGTTGCTGACCTTGAGCAGCTATAGATTTATTCAGGGAAAGAAATCATAGCTGTAGCATATTTACTATATAGTAGGAGGCTGATTTTGTAGACTTAGAGAAATTTTAATTTTTCCTTAATTTTATTCATGTAAACACCATTTTAGACATTGACTAATGAGAAATTCTCCTAATTTTAATCATGTTTTAAAACATAAGTGTGAAAACGTGTAAGAAAGCATCAGAAACCCAGACCATTAGAACAATATACATAAATGGAGAGATGTTAAGAAGTAGCCATGTTTATTCCCTCTGAGGACAAGATGAACATGTCTCTTGTATTTACCACTGAAATAAGAACAGGAATGGGTCTAACTTGCTTGCAAGCAAATAAGAAATGATGGTTGTGGGTCCTAATGATGTTGGCTCAGTATAATGAAGTATTGTGGTGGTGTCTATAATGCTGAGGGATAAGATTCTGATTCTACAGAACTTTGTTTCAATAAAAGTCTGGTAGTAAAATCAAGGCATTTCAAATAGAAATTTAATGGCATTGTTTCCTCTGGTACAGTCAGATCCTTGAATATAGCCAGGTATCACTGTTCGTTAGCCATTCAGTCATCTAACTCAAGAGGTAGTCTATTTGAGAGGACAGAAGAAGCCTAACAATGTTTCAAGAAGCATGCATCAAATTCTTGCTGGGTACTTAGCATAATGAAATTTCTTTGTTTTATATTTAGGGATTGAATAGGGAGACTGCTTTTGGCCACTGCCCAAACAGTTCATTGTACAGCTTAGTCGAAGGAAATTGCTATATGCAAAGAGTTTATTCTTGCCTTTTCTAAAAAGTAATTTCTGCCATTAAAAATGACAAACCTAAGGAATTTTATGTAATAAAGTGATTTCTACCCATCTATATTTTTAAATATGCCTTTCAAATGTGCTTCTGAAAATGAAGCAATTATTCAGCTGAGGATTATATAGAATGTTAATTGTTTAATCACTACTTCAGCACCAAGGTTGCATATGATGCAATATAAGATGTTCTTGAGGATAAGCAAACTAAAATTGGAATATGTTTACTCCATTTCTAAAGATCCCCCATCCCCCACAGAACTCCCACAGCATATATTTAGCATATCTTTTCCTTAATCTTTGAAATTCCTATGTCTCTAACTGCCCTCATTTCTTTCCAAGTGTCTTATATGATTTAATACATGGTATGAGTTAAATGCTTCATACAGCACAGGGAGATTATGCTCATAAAGAGGCCAAGATTCTACCTTTCATCTCTCTGTAATTGTTCTTTCTTGGTACCTTTGCTGGCTCCTCTTTTCCCCCTAGTCTCTTAAAGGTTGATGTATCCCAGGGTTCTTGCCTAAACCCGACCTTCTCATTCTATATTTTTCCTCCTGGGTGATTTCATCCATTTCTGGCACTTCATCCTGTAATCATCTGCATATCCTCCCATCTTCACATATAGAGACCAGCACACAGTCATATAACAACCTAGGTACCCAGATCCCAGACTTGCATAAATACACTCCCTGTGTATGCTAGGGAATATGAGAGACCTTAGATGTTAAGGCATTTATCTTCAGTGGAGAGTTACCAATCAGTCCTTTGCATGGACTTCTGGGACCTGGAGGCCATATGGGGTGGTGCCTCCCATATTAAATGGCCCACTTGCCAGATGGCTCCAAAGATAATGTCAGCCCTCTTTCTTTGCAAGAACAATTCAGCCTAGTGATAAAGAAGTCCATTGCCCTTCTGAATTCAACAGATCACTTTGATAATTTTTGTGGCATGTAAAGAGAGTAGTAAATGTCACTTCTGAGGAAGAACAATTGAACTTTCATCAAATTCATTTCCAAGTATACAACTACTTACACCTACCATGTTTTACTGATGAAAGCTTTGCTTTCTATTTTGCAAAAACCCATGCAGGAGCTTAATTGTTTTAAAAACAATCATAGTCATTTTTATGGGATTAGTATATCCTACAGGGTATGATGTAGCTGGTCTGTTGATTGTCCATAAATTGATTTTGGCTGCCTCTGTAGCTCCTACACATGAAAAGATGACTTTGTTTTGATCTACTTAAGCAACAGTTTAAATTCTTGAATACATTTTTCTAAATCATTGAAAAGACACAAGAGAGTTTGAGTCACTGTTGATGAACAATTGCATCATTTCAAAGTAAATGAGTATGAATCATCTATGTGTAAACATAGTCACCCCTAGAATATGTAGGCAGACACCGGTAATTTATACAGTTCTTTGATTAAAATGACTAGGATACTCGTTAGTCATAAGTTAGCTCAATTAGATGCTATTTAATCCCATGACTTTTCTAACATTTGTATAGTCAGAATAGCACAATTTCACAAAATTTTTTTTCCAATGGGCTAAGACATTTTTATAGTATAATGTAGTATAAAAACCAATGGGTCAAAAACATATATAAGTTGAACTTTCCATTGCAATTCCAGTGATCAGTAAGTAAAATTTGTTAATATAATGTATAATCTAACAATTCAATTCATCTGATCTAAACTAAGTTATATTTCTGATATAATTAATGACATAATTTTAAAACTTTTCCTAACAAATCTGTGTAAGAACAGGCCAGGGAGTATAGCAACTGTTAGTCATACTTGTTCATTCCAAGAAGCTCGTTCAACAATGTTACTGATTTTTTTCTTAAATAGTACATGAAAAATATGAAATTGTATGACAGCATGGAAAATTTAAAGAACCCTTTCTGCTAATCTACTTAAGGCATCTGTTTGAAACATTAACATTAGGAAACACAAACCTATTTATTCTCTCTCCTCCCGCCCCCATCTTTTCGTTATTTTAGACAAACAAAGGTGATGCCCTTGCCAACCGAGTCCAGAACACGCTTGGAAACTATGATGAAATGAAGGATTTACTAACTAACCATTCTAATCAGAATCATCTAGTGGGAATCCCAAAGAATTCTGTGCCCCAGACTCCCATCAACAAAAATGAGCCAAGCTTTTTTCCAGAGCAAAAGAACCGAATGATCCCACCTCACCAGGATAATACCCACCCCTCAGCACCAATGCCTCCGCCTTCTGTCGTGATACTGAATTCCACTCTAATACATAGCAACAGAAAACCGAAACCTGAATGGTCACGAGATAGTCATAACCCTAGCACTGTGCCAGTAAGCCAGGCCAGCAGTCAGCCAAACAAGATACAGACTTCCACACAGGACCAGCCTCAAGCCAGACTGGAAGACTTCTTTGTCTACCCAGCTGAACAGCCCCAAATAGGTGGAGCTGAAGAGTCAAACCTATCTGCAAATGAAGATGGTAACCCCAAGTCTGGTGGAGAAGATGCTTTCAAAGAAGTCTTTCAATCCAAGTCACCAGAGGAATCTGAATTTACACTTCAAGCACCTGGGTCTCCCCTAGTTGCCTCATCTTTATTAGCTCCTAGCAGTGGCCTTTCAGTTCAGAACTTCCCACCAGGGCTTTACTGCAAAACAAGCATGGGGCAGCAAAAGCCAACTGCATATGTAAGACCCATGGATGGCCAGGACCAGGCACCAGACATCTCTCCGACACTGAAACCTTCAATTGAATTTGAGAACAGCTTTGGGAATCTCTCATTTGGATCGCTCCTGGATGGAAAACCCAGTTCAAAGACTAAATTGCCAAAGTTCACGATCCTCCAAACAAGTGAAGTAAGTAATTTTTAAAGTTTTGTTTCATTTTTAGTTGGCTTTTCTAACCTATAGTATCAGGTATTCAAGCAACTCTTATTTACCTTATTGAGCTATATATGAGACTCTTCAAAGTCAGAGTCTAATTCTTGATTTTCTGTTACTTGTAACATGACTGATTAGCACTACAAGTACAATTACATCTCCATAATATGAAATAACAAAATACAAGGTCGGTCTGAGTGAAAGAAGCAATGGAGTTGCAAAATAGTTTTAGAAAGTGCATTTATAATAATGTTATGTATATGAATTAATAACATTTGAGATTTTAATTGGTCATAAGTCATATAAGCTTCACGAAAATAGTGTGAGTCACCATAGATATTCACAAGCCAATAGCTTATTTTAAACACAGAACACAGAAAGTTTCTTAAAGTGCAAAAAGTATAAGTGTGATTTTTCTGGAACCTGAACTGGAAGGCATTCTTTAAAATTTTCAGTTTCCTGAGTGTTTACAGGGCTATTACTTGGCAAGATCTTACTATCATCTTTCTGTATCCCTCAGTCTTCCTTCCTGCATCACATTTTTCCACAGGTACCTACGTAGCCCTCTTATTCTACCTTTATCCCTCTGTCAAAGCAAAAGGCATTGTGATCAACCAAATTCCACTGAGTTTAGAATGACTAAATATCCTACCTCTCTCAAGCCATTTACATTGTCTTGTAAAGAAAAGTCCAGAGGTACCAAAGCCTCTCCGAAAGCAATGAATCACTAATGATTGGATTCCGGGCCTCTGGCCCCTGGGTTGGGGACCTTTAGGGGGCTGCCCCTCGGATACCACCATGTTAAGCAATTGCCTACTTCACCTCAAGCAATTGATTGGAAGAAGCCACTGCCTTTAGATTGAATTCCTATTACTGGTGACTGAGGCTTGAAAAGACAGAGGAACAAAGTAGGCTGACGTTCTTACTCAATAGGTGTCATAGGTAGTCTGTCTGAATTGTTACAGTCCAACTTAGTGGTGTCTGAATTAGAGAACTCTAACCCTCTAGTTCTTCTTCTTTATTCATCCTCAGCAGATGTGTTGATTTCAGTGGATGATAGGAGCACAAAAGAAAGGAGGCCTGGGGCTGTTGGTTGTATTTGTTTCTTTTGTGGGGCAACTTTGCTTTTTGTATCATCATTCTCCAAGTCTTATCAAGCTTCTTCCTAAGTATCTCTACAATCAGTGCCCTCTTCTCTGCCCTCATTGCTTTTAAACTGCCTATAAACATCTCAAACCTTGACTGCTGTGGTAGCCCTTTCCAACTGGGCTTCTCTTCCTCCAGTCTCACCTCCTTTCAAACCACCCTCCATACAGGCTGATCTAAGGCAGATCTGACCATGTTGCTCTCTGCTTTTGATTCTTCAATACCTTCTCATTGCTTCCAGGCAAATGTTCAACTTTCTTAGACCCACATCCAAGTTTCCTCACTCTCTGGTTTCATACTTATTTTCTAGCCTCATATTTTACTACTTCTTCATATATAGATGAAATCCCAGCCATATGGAACTACCTGGAGTTCCCTGTTGTGTCATGCTTATCATGCTTTCTTGATTTTTTTTTAACCTGCAGGCTCCTCAGCCTTGAATGTCTTTCACCTCCCTCACTTGTCTTCCTGGTAGGGTACTGTTTTTCCTTCAGGTCTGCTCAGTTGCCACCTTCTCTGTGAAAGCTTCCCAGATCCTCCCAGCTTAATTATAAACTGCTTCCTCTGAACTACTCTAGTGCCTTACTATACACACCCTGCGTGGCACCTATTTCATTGTATTAGAGTGACTGTGAGCTCCTTAGAGGGCAAGCAATTTTTCATTCTTCTCTGTATCCCAAGTGCCAACCAATTGCCTGGCACATAGTAGAATTCAATAAATGTTTGTTGAATGAATGAATTTCAAAAATGTTTACTTGATTATATTTTCAAAGCTATAATGTTAATTGAATAGCATGATCAAAACTAAGCAATTGCTTGGAAATTCATCCTCAGCCAGATTACTGTCTGCCTGTGTCATACTCTGCTCTACTCTTGTGTGGATAACATAATACTTAAAAATCCCAAAAGTGATCTGTTTTGAAAGTGGAGGACTATAATGGGAGATTGGGTTATCATTCTTACCCTTTCCCTTGCCAGCTATCTACTGCTGTTCCCTCCTTACACAGCAGTGCTGGCCTGTTTTCATACCTCATCAGTAGAGTGATGGGTTGCAGACCCAGTAAGATCCATTCTATTGTAATCCTCTCATACATTCACAAAATGGCTGACCCAGATTCAGAAATGACTTCATCCTTTCACTCAGTGGTCTGGCACACCAATAAGAGGTACTTTTCAAAGAGAGTTTGAGCGGTCATCAACTCTGGAGATGATTATCCAAAGAATAACCTGTGTATATGCAGCATTTAGTGGTGGTGCAAATAGACTTTGGTAGAGATTTCTATGAAAAATGGGTCAGATGTAACAAAGTCATGATGGGAGATCAGTAAAAAAGTATTTATTTCAAAACCCAGGTCCCAAGGAAGGATTTTAAAGAGGAATAGAGTGAAACTTAAGGCCCTAGAGCCAAAGGACTAGACAGAACTCATGGGCAATATGAAAACCTTAAAAATAGAAAGAAAAAATGACAGGTTAGAGACCCTAACAGAGAGCTTAGAAGGGTATAGATTAAAATGTGAGCATAAATATAGACGAGCTGGAACATTATGAAGCTTTGAATCTAATGGAATTTATCTGGCTAAAACTCTGACCAAGTTTGAAAATTCGCCCTATTAAATCTTGATGCATTTTTCAAAAGCACTTAGCATTAGAATTCAACCCCAGTTCCTGGCGCCAAGAATTCAAAGCACTGGTTTCAGGTTCCTAGTCAGAGTAGCCATCTTCAATGAATGGCAGCATTACTTTGAGTTATTGGCAAAAAGCCTTACTAACCATATAGAGCAATCACAGTATTTCTGTGAACTTTCTTAACTCTATCCTTGGTTCTAGTGTTGTGTTAGTGAGGTTCATTTCAAGTGGGAAGTAGCAGGGAGGATTTAATAACTAGAAAACCGTCATCATTCTAAGATATATGAATAAGCAGCTAAGATTAAGATTATATTTGTACATTGACAAATTAAAAACTGTTATTGAAATATGATATGCATATGTGTTATGTCTCTGTTTGTTTGTGAGTCTATACTTCTAAAGTGAGGAAATTTTTATTATTCTTGAAACATTTTTGTGATTCTTAGAATTTCTGTATCAGTATTATTAATTCTAACCAACTTTATTGCAAAAGGCCAGCTTTTTAATTGAGGCACATCACTTAAACAAAAATCTTATTTGTTTAAAAAAACTTCATGTTACAGAATTTATTAACATTCCAGGCAACCAAAAAAAAGAAGCTAATGGGTCCAGAAGAATTTTCTGGGAACTGCATCTGAAAACAGTAAAAAGCCTATTTATATCAAGTCAAAAGTGAAGGTTTCTTGCAGATGGTGTTTTATTAGGAAATGAATTTGTTAATAAATTTCGCCTTATGTATTATTTCATTACAGATGTTTTTGTTTATTTTTACCTTAGGATAAAGATCTGCTGGTTTAATCATTCTGAGTGAGGTTAGCCTGGCCCAAAAGACCAAAAATCGTATGTTCTCCCTCATATGTGGACATTAGATCAAGGGTAAACACAACAAGGGGATTGGACTATGAGCACATGATAAAAGCGAGAGCACACAAGGAAGGGGTGAGGATAGGTAAGACACCTAAAAAATTAGCTAGCATTTGTTGTCCTCAATGCAGAGAAACTAAAGCAGATACCTTAAAAGCAACTGAGGCCAATAGGAAAAGGGGACCAGGTACTAGAGAAAAGGTTAGTTCAAGAAGAATTAACCTAGAAGGTAACACCCACGCACAGGAAATCAATGTGAGTCAACGCCCTGTATAGCTATCCTTATCTCAACCAGCAAAAACCCTTGTTCCTTCCTATTATTGCTTATACTCTCTCTACAACAAAATTAGAAATAAGGGCAAAATAGTTTCTGCTGGGTATTGAGGGGGGGAGAGGGAGGGGGCAG